GTTTATGGTTCATATTTTTCATTTTTTTTATTATTTATTTTTATTCTCTAAGGTACTGTTATTGACCTCAACTTTTGGATTGATGAACAAGAGGGAGTTCAGAAGTGCAGATAGCAAAAATTTCGTTTAAATTTCCAGATTAGTTCTTTAGCAGTACTCGATTAGTTGAAGATCAATACTAGAACAGAACTAGAACAGAACTAGAACAGAACTAGAACTAGAACAGAACTAGAACAGAACTAGAACAGAACTAGAACAGAACTAGAACAGAACTAGAACAGAACTAGAACTGAACTAGAACTGAACTAGAACTGAACCAGAACAGAACTAAACAGAACTAGAACAGAACTAGAACAGAACTAGAACAGAACTAGAACAGAACTAGAACAGAACTAGAACAGAACTAGAACAGAACTAGAACAGAACTAGAACAGAACTAGAACAGAACTAGAACAGAACTAGAACAGAACTGAACAGAACTAGAACAGAACTAGAACAGAACTAGAACAGAACTAGAACTAGAACTAGAACAGAACTAGAACAGAACTAGAACTGAACTAGAACAGAACTAGAACAGACTAGAACTGAACTAGAACAGAACTAGAACAGAACTAGAACAGAACTAGAACAGAACTAGAACAGAACTAGAACAGAACTAGAACAGAACTAGAACAGAACTAGAACAGAACTAGAACAGAACTAGAACAGAACTAGAACAGAACTAGAACAGAACTAGAACAGAACTAGAACAGAACTAGAACAGAACTAGAACAGAACTAGAACAGAATAGAACAGAACTAGAGAACAGAACATAGAACAGATAGAACAGAACTAGAACAGAACTAGAACAGAACTAGAACAGAACTAGAACAGAACTAGAACAGAACTAGAACAGAACTAGAACAGAACTAGAACAGAACTAGAACAGAACTAGAACAGAACTAGAACAGAACTAGAACAGACTAGAACAGAACTAGAACAGAACTAGAACAGAACTAGAACAGAACTAGAACAGAACTAGAACAAACTAGACAGAACTAGACAAACTAGAACAGAACTAGAACAGAACTAGAAACAGAACTAGAACAGAACTAGAACAGAACTAGAACAGAACTAGAACAGAACTAGAACAGAACTAGAACAGAACTAGAACAGAACTAGAACAGAACTAGAACAGAAACTAGAACAGAACTAGAACAGAACTAGAACAGAACTAGAACAGAACTAAAAGAACTAGAACAGACACTAGAACAGAACTAGAACAGAACTAGAACAGACTAGAACAGAACTAGAACAGAACTAGAACAGAACTAGAACAGAACTAGAACAGAACTAGAACAGAACTAGAACAGAACTAGAACAGAACTAGAACAGAACTAGAACAGAACTAGAACAGAACTAGAACAGAACTAGAACAGAACTAGAACAGAACTAGAACAGAACTAGAACAGAACTAGAACAGAACTAGAACAGAACTAGAACAGAACTAGAACAGAACTAGAACAGAACTGAAACTAGAACAGAACTAGAACAGAACTAGAACAGAACTAGAACAGAACTAGAACAGAACTAGAACAGAACTAGAACAGAACTAGAAACAGAACTAGAACAGAACTAGAACAGAACTAGAACAGAACTAGAACAGAACTAGAACAGAACTAGAACAGAACTAGAACATAACTAGAACAGAACTAGAACAGAAATAGAACAGAACTAGCACACAACGAGAACCAAACTAGAACTCAGTTCTAAATAAGGATATAAAGACTAGAATAAAAATAATCTACAATTAAATTAGAAATAATCTAGAACTAATCTAATCTTCTTTGCAAATTTTTCTTTTTCACATAATACAAATTAATCCCACTGAGAGAAAAGACAAAAAGTAAGAGAAAATGTTTAAAGGAAGTAGAAAAAAGTCCTCGAACCTCATTATTTGCCAAAAAAAAACAAATTTTTCTGATTCTGCCAGCAAAAAAAACCTTTTACAACCCCCTTCGGAACTGTAAGTATTTTAATATTCCCTATCAAAAACCACCACAAAATTTACCTCAAAATTACAGGTGTGGGTATGAAAAGAGAGCAAAAAAACTAAACAAAAATACCTAAAAAGAGAAAGCTCTAGTAAAGAACGTGTGATAACTTCGCTCTGAGTAAATTGCATTGATGCATGCATGCTCGCCTACTTGAGTTTATTTAAAAAGGTGTAAAAAAATGTCTGTTTAATTTTAATACACATATTTTTCATTCTGCTTTTACTATAATATTTTTACTGATTTAATTTTATATACAAGCTATTTATAAAAATATGTATGTTTGTGTATATTAAAGTGTATGATGATGAGCTTTTTTTGTGCACTTTTTCTATAAATTGCTCCTTGTTAAAGTTTTTTCACCCTCTCTTTTGTTTTGCTATAGTATGTAGTAGACATTGTTGGGTTTGTTGCTGTTTTTTCTTGTTGTTTGTTCTTTCTATAACATCATATTTGTTGATAAGTGCATGCGTGAGCTTGCATATATTATTTGAGGGAAAATTGTATAGTTTTCATAAATAAAAATCTTATTTTCTTGTTGTTGTTTTTGTATAGTTGTTATTTTCAAAAGGCTGTGGTCTCAATAAGCTCTAAAGAGGCAATTAATAGTGCTATTTTTAGCAACAGTTTTTCAAAGAAAAACACCAAAGTAAATAAGGATTTAAAAAGAAAACTATTAAAGAAACTTTTGTGTGTATGTTTGTGTGTATGTGAAGGAGAAGAAAAGTGGGGGTGGTAACGGAAATGGAAAAAGTTTTAATTATACATAGTGGAAAGAATAGACAATGCTAATAAATGATCAACTTCCTGGAAGTTTCTTTCATTTTCTAAAGTGCAGGAATAATTAAACAGATTTAAGTGAAAAATTGATTTGTTTTGAAAATAACTTAAATTTAATTAAATTTGTATAGTTTTTAAAGAAAAGATATCCATATGATTGCATGATTTTCTACAAAAGTAGAACTGATTTAAACCGAACTCGATCCGATACCGAATCTATATGGAAACAGAACTAGAACAAAACTTGAACAGAACTAGAACAGAACTAGAACAGAACTAGAACAGAACTAGAACAGAACTAGAACAGAACTAGAACAGAACTAGAACAGAACTAGAACAGAACTAGAACTGAACTAGAACTGAACTAGAACAGAACTAGAACAGAACTAGAACAGAACTAGAACAGAACTAGAACAGAACTAGAACAGAACTAGAACAGAACTAGAACAGAACTAGAACAGAACTAGAACAGAACTAGAACAGAACTAGAACAGAACTAGAACAGAACTAGAACAGAACTAGAACAGAACTAGAACAGAACTAGAACAGAACTAGAACAGAACTAGAACAGAACTAGAACAGAACTAGAACAGAACTAGAACAGAACTAGAACAGAACTAGAACAGAACTAGAACAGAACTAGAACAGAAGTAGAACAGAACTAGAACTGAACTAGAACTGAACTAGAACAGAACTACTTAGAACTAGAACAGAACTAGAAGAGAACTAGAACAGAACTCGAACAGAACTAGAACAGAACTAGAACAGAACTAGAACAGAACTAGAACAGAACTAGAACAGAACTAGAACAGAACTAGAACAGAACTAGAACAGAACTAGAACAGAACTAGAACAGAACTAGAACAGAACTAGAACAGAACTAGAACAGAACAGAACTAGAACAGAACTAGAACAGAACTAGAACAGAACTAGTACAGAACTAGAACGGAACTAGAACAGTACTAGAACAGAACTAGAACAGAACTAGAACAGAACTAGAACAGAACTAGAACCGAACTAGAACAGAACTAGAACAGAATTAGAACAAAACTAGAACAGAACTAGAACAGAACTAGAACAGAACTAGAACAGAACTAGAACAGAACTAGAACAGAACTAGAACAGAACTAGAACAGAACTAGAACAGAACTAGAACAGAACTAGAACAGAACTAGAACAGAACTAAAACAGAACTAGAAACAGAACTAGCGCAGAACTAGAACAAAATTAGAACAGAACTAGAACAGAACTAGAACAGAACTATAACCGAACTAGAACTGAACTATAACCGAACTAGAACAGAACTAGAACTGAACTAGAACTGACTAGAACTGAACTAGAACTGAACTAGAACTGAACTAGAACTGAACTAGAACTGAACTAGAACTGAACTAGAACTGAACTAGAACTGAACTAGAACTGAACTAGAACTGACTAGAACTAAACTAGAACTGAACTAGTACTGAACTAGAACTGAACTAGAACTGAACTAGAACTGACTAGAACTGAACTAGAACTGAACTAGAACTGAACTAGAACTGAACTAGAACTGAACTAGAACTGAACTAGAACTGAACTAGAACTGAACTAGAACTGAACTAGAACTGAACTAGAACTGAACTAGAACTGAACTAGAACTGAACTAGAACTGAACTAGAACTGAACTAGAACTGAACTAGAACTGAACTAGAACTGAACTAGAACTGAACTAGAACTAGAACTAGACTGAACTAGAACTGAACTAGAACTGAACTGAACTGACTAGAACTGAACTGACTGAACTAGAACTGAACTAGACTGAAACTAAGAACTGAAACTAGAACTGAACTAGAAACTGAATTTGAACTCAATTAGAACTGAATTTGAACTGAACTGGAACGTACTAGAACTAAACTAGAATTAATGGAATTAATATCGAACTGATCTGTAAATGATCCACAAATACTCCTTTTTAAACTTCAATGATTTTTTTCGTTTAATTTTAAATATCACTAAATGATGTTACAGACAATACTATTTCTTTAAGCCACCATCATGACGTAGTAGAAAATTTGTTTTTTATAATTATGGTTAATTATGTATTATTGCATTTTATCGAAAATAATAATGATATTAATGAATAAAGCTTTTCATATAAAAGACAAAAAAAAAAACAGAAATATTCATAAACACATAAGAGACACTTACCCGATATGCGACCTTCACTGGACCTGCCATTTAGAGATAATTGCTGCAATAAATTGCCATTTGTTGTCCCCGATGAAGAAGAAGGCGAAGAGGCTAAAACCGTTACACCAGCAGTACCGCCATTGCTATTACCATTAAATTCATAATCATGATGATTTGCATTTAATAATTGACTACTTTGATGATTAAGATGATGGAGAGAATGTTGATTATTGTTCTGATGGTGATGGTGATGATGTCCATTTGTTGTTAATGAGGCGGATGCACTATTTGTACCGTTAGTTAATACCGTTGATGTTTGCTGTTGTAAAAGGGAGGAGTTGGCGGCGGCGGTGGTATTGCTGCTAGCATGATTGTGATGATGTCCATTAATATGTTGAAATGGAGCTGCAGCAGCAGGTGCTGATGATGACACTTGTAATGAACCGGCATTGCCATGTCTTATATTTGAATTGCGTATATTTATGCTGCCGCCAATGCCACCACCATTATGATGGCCATTAGTTGTTGTCGTTGTTGTGGTATTACTATTGTTGTTGTTGTTGTTGGCAATTGTTGCATCATACGCATGCACTATGAAGCGTTGCTGCTCATTGAGTATTGCCGGTATTGCTGTGGCCTGTGGTGATAAGTTCAATTTCTCCTGCCGCTCAATATATTGAGCAGCTTCTAGGAGCGTTTTTAAACCCTCCGCCATATCAGTTTGGAAAGAAAGTGTTAAAGAACTACTGTTCCACTACTAACGCTGTTTGATGATGATGATGCTGTTGCTGGTGATTTTGCAGGTTGATTTTTTTGTATTTTTGCCTTTTGCAAATATCACTGTGATTCCAAATTTGTTTTGTGGGTTTTTTTCAGCAATTTTTTTTATGATTTACAAAAATATTTTTGTTTTGTATTTAAATCAATTTTGTTTTTTTTTATTGCTAAAAAATAGGTTTGTTTTTTGTCTTGTGGGGTAGTTTTCTATAATTTGGTGTTGGAGAATTTTTAATTATTGTTAGAAGTTTACTTTCAATTTTTAATTTTATTTGGTGGATCTGTAATGAGAAAGAGAAGAAATGAGAAAGGGTATTAATAAAAATATTTTAGAAATATACACAAATCGAGAGAACTGTAATAATTCACAATAAGACATAAAATGTATAAAAAAGTTAGGAACATTAACTAGTAGTAGAACTGAACTAGAACTGAACTAGAACTGTACTTTAACTGAACCAGAACTGAACTAGAACTGAACTAGAACTGAACTAGAACTGAACTAGAACTGAACTAGAACTGAACTAGAACTGAACTAGAACTGAACTAGAACTGAACTAGAACTGAACTAGAACTGAACTAGAACTGAACTAGAACTGAACTAGAACTGAACTAGAACTGAACTAGAACTGAACTAGAACTGAACTAGAACTGAACTAGAACTGAACTAGAACTAGAACTGAACTAGAACTGAACTAGAACTGAACTAGAACTGAACTAGAACTGAACTAGAACTGAACTAAGAACTGAACTAGAACTGAACTAGAACTGAACTAGAACTGAACTAGAACTGAACTAGAACTGAACTAGAACTGAACTAGAACTGAACTAGAACTGAACTAGAACTGAACTAGAACTGAACTAGAAACTGAACTAGAACTGAACTAGAATTAGAACTGAACTAGAACTGAACTAGAACTGAACTAGAACTGAACTAGAACTGAACTAGAACTGAACTAGAACTGAACTAGAACTGAACTAGAACTGAACTAGAACTGAACTAGAACTGAACTAGAACTGAACTAGAACTGAACTAGAACTGAACTAGAACTGAACTAGAACTGAACTAGAACTGAACTAGAACTGAACTAGAACTGAACTAGAACTGAACTAGAACTGAACTAGAACTGAACTAGAACTGAACTAGAACTGAACTAGAACTGAACTAGACTGAACTAGAACTGAACTAGAACTGAACTAGAACTGAACTAGAACTGAACTAGAACTGAACTAGAACTGAACTAGAACTGAACTAGAACTGAACTAGAACTGAACTAGAACTGAACTAGAACTGAACTAGAACTGAACTAGAACTGAACTAGAACTGAACTAGAACTAGAACTGAACTAGAACTGAACTAGAACTGAACTAGAACTGAACTAGAACTGAACTAGAACTGAACTAGAACTGAACTAGAACTGAACTAGAACTGAACTAGAACTGAACTAGAACTGAACCTAGAACTGAACCAGAACTGAACTAGAACTGAACTAGAACTGAACTAGAACTGAACTAGAACTGAACTAGAACTGAACTAGAACTGAACTAGAACTGAACTAGAACTGAACTAGAACTGAACTAGAACTGAACTAGAACTGAACTAGAACTGAACTAGAACTAGAACTAGAACTGAACTAGAACTGAACTAGAACTGAACTAGAACTGAACTAGAACTGAACTAGAACTGAACTAGAACTGAACTAGAACTGAACTAGAACTGAACTAGAACTGAACTAGAACTGAACTAGAACTGAACTAGAACTGAACTAGAACTGAACTAGAACTGAACTAGAACTGAACTAGAACTAAACTAGATCTGAACTAGAACTAAAACTAAAACTGAACTAGTACGGAACTAGGACTAACCTAGAACTGAATTAAAATTTATCTAGAAGTGATCTAATAATGATCTTTAAAAATTATTTCAATAATTATTCAAAATTACTTAGTAGGTAGGTACCTATTCCCATTTTCAAAAGTACGTTTTTGTTTATAAATTGCCTTATTAAATAAAATTCTCTAATAAATTAACTTGTCACCTATAAAAAACTATATTTATGAGATGTTTAAACAGAAATGAAATACAATTAAGCAGCTGATGACCACCAGAAGAAGTAGCAGCAGACTCAAGTAGCAGCTGTTTAAACGGAACCTGAGAGCAATGACATTGAGACACACCACGGGGTTAAAACACGTACCACAACAGACCAAACAATACATATATTACCTAAGAACAACCATTAAGGGTTTGTTTTTCTTTTTGCGGATCAAAGAAAAGAAAACAAGTAGACAATATGTACTGGAAGAAAGGTATGTGATATTACAATCTAGTGATAACTAGAAAATATTGACTTTTTAAGAGAGGGTCGATGATCTTAAGAGAGCAGAAACAAAAAAATGCAAAAACTCCTTTCGATGTCGTAACAAAAACAATATTATCTATTGAATTTAATAATAATTAACAACAAATACTATGTTGGAAGCAAGAAAACAAAGTCAATGTGTCTGTCCAGGTTCTTGTAGGAATAAAACAAAAACTGAATGAAATTATTTAATGTTTGTATTTTTTTGCTGTTTCTTTGTGTTTATCTCTTTGTTTACTTATTTTTATTATCCGCCTGTCCGTCCATCCATGTGTATGTATGTCGGTTTTACACGGTCGGTCGGTCAACAAACATTTGCAATTCTTAGAAATTTTCGCGTTGTTGCATGTAGTCCATAGAAATATTTATTGTATTAATGTAGTATTTAGAATATTTAGTTTTTTTTTGTTAAGTCTTAACAACAACAAAAACATGAATGAAAAAGAACAAGCATTGGAAAATATTTACTATTAAGATTCAGGGTTTAACACGAACAGGGAATAATACGAACAGTTTATTCAAACACCATAATCGAAACTATAGACAAGATTATAGTCAAAATTATGATTAGATATACTACGACTAGAACTAAAACTGAACTAGAACTGAATTAGAGGAAGAACTTGAACTGAACCAGAACTAAACTAGAACAGAACTAAACTAGAACTAAACTGGAACTGAACTAGAACTAAACTGGAACTGAACTAGAAATGAACTAGAACAGAACTAGAACAGATCTAAACTAGAACGAAACTGGAACTGAAATAGAAATGAACTAGAACAGAACTAGAACAGATCTAAACTAGAACTAAACTAAAACTGAACTAAAACTGAACTAGAACTGAACTAGAACTGAAGTAGAACTGAACTAGAACTGAACTTGAACTGAACTAGAACTGAACTAGAACTGAACTAGAACTGAACTAGAACTGAACTAGAACTGAACTAGAACTGAACTAGAACTGAACTAGAACTGAAGTGAACTAGAACAGAAGTGAACTAGAACAGAAGTGAACTAGAACTGAACTAGAACAGAACTGAACTAGAACTGAACTGAACTAGAACTGAACTAGAACTAAACTAGAACTGAACTAGAACTGAACTTAACTAGAACTGAACTAGAACTAGAATTGAACTAGAACTGAACTAGAACTGAACTAGAACTGAACTAGAACTGAACTAGAACTGAACTAGAACTGAACTAGAACTGAACTAGAACTGAACTAGAACTGAACTAGAACTGAACTAGAACTGAACTAGAACTGAACTAGAACTGAACTAGAACTGAACTAGAACTGAACTAGAACTGAACTAGAACTGAACTAGAACTGAACTAGAACTGAACTAGAACTGAACTAGAACTGAACTAGAACTGAACTAGAACTGAACTAGAACTGAACTAGAACTGAACTAGAACTGAACTAGAACTGAACTAGAACTGAACTAGAACTGAACTAGAACTGAACTAGAACTGAACTAGAACTGAACTAGAACTGAACTAGAACTGAACTAGAACTGAACTAGAACTGAACTAGAACTGACTGAACTAGAACTGAACTAGAACTGAACTAGAACTGAACTATAACTGAACTAAAACTAAACTAGAACTAAACTAGAACTGAACTAGAACTGAACTAGAACTGAACCAGACTTGGTATTAAAGACATACTGTAGCCTCTACTATAGACGCAGACTATAGTCTCGACTATAGACCAGAGTATAGCCAAGATTATAGACCAAATTATAGTTCAAAACTATAAGCGAGACTATAGCCTCTACTATATCTTTGACTATAGCCCAGACTGTAGCCTCGACTATATATTAGATTATAGATCAGACTATAGAAACAAAGTATAGTCAAGATTATAGACCAAATTATAGTCAAAACATAAACCAGACTATATCCTTGACTATATCTTCGATTATAGACCAGACTATAGCCTCGACTATATATTAGATTATAGATCAGACTATAGCCTCGACTATAGACCAGAATATACATATAGACCAGACTAGCTGCAACTACAGACCTGACTATAACCTCCACTAATGACCAGATTATAGTCTCCAATATAACCAGACTTGAGACTATAGACCAGACTTCTTGCAATAGAACACACTACACTTTAGACAAGACAAAATGCATTTGATCAGACTATAGTCCAGACTACAGACTAAACTGTAGTTAAGCTAAACTAGTTAAGTGCTCTTAGTTGTATAAGCACAAGTGTGCCTTATTATATTGAAATACAAGAGTAAATACAAGGTTATTTTGTAGTTATTATTTGTTGGCATTTAAAGAGAATTTCCTTGCTGTTTTTTCTGTTATTCAAACATACAAAGGCATTAGATTCATATTTCATAATTTGCTTTTTGTTTAAATTGTTGTTGTTGTTGTTGCTATTATTTGCTAATAAATAAAAATACAGGTCAAACATATTTAAAAAGAAAACTATAATTATTTTTGACAAGCCAGGTGTATGTTTGTAAATTTATTTTTAAATATAGTTTAAAAAAAAAGAAATACTGACTCATAAATAGAGATAATAGACAAAACCTAGCTTAGACTCGATATATGTTATGGCCACAAATACAACACAAAAATGAGCTGTTAATTATTATTATTTATTTTGTGTGTGTGTGTGTAGAAGACTTTGGTTAGATTTCTTTAGACAAGTGTCTGATAGATAAAATTTATTTTAGACCACTTCCCGGTTACTTTGAACTAATTATGTTTAAAGGAGAAAAGCTGAGTCTGCATATATGTATATGGATTATTATCAGGTTATTTCATGCGTTGCCAATTAGTTTAAAATACGCAGAAACACACACACAATTTTCTTTCATTTAAATTCTATTAACATAAATATGAATGGAAAATGTGTGATGTGAAAATGAAGAAAAAAAAAGTATCACAA